TACAGGAATGGCCAAGTGCATGAAAAGATTCTCAACATCATTGGTTACTAGAAAAATAAAAACCACAATGAGATACCACTACATGTACACTAGAATGGCTAAAATAAATTATATTGGTAATACCAAGTTTTGGCAAGGACATGGAGCAGGTGGAATCCTCATGCATTCATTGCTTGTGGGACTACAAAATGGTACAGTCACTTTGGAAGACAGCTTAGTCATTTCTCAGAAAGTTAAATATAAATTTTTCATATGACCCAGGAATTCTACTCCTAAGTATCAAGAGAAATGAAAACATGTTCATACAAAAAGACCTAAACATTTTTATTCATTATCACCAAAAATAGGAAAAAACCTAGATGTCTCTCATCTGGAGAATAAACAGAATGTGCTACATCATACATTGAAATACTATTTAGCAGTAAAATGAAGTGAACTAATCTTTTGTGCAGCAACCTTGGATGAATCTCAGAAACATCATGCTGGATTAAAAATTGTACTGTAAATTATTTACTAGCTCTTCATGGTTGAAGTTCGGATTATTTGTAATTTTTTCTGTGACAAATAATCTAATGCCAGCAATACATTAGATATTCTTAAAGATATATCTTTGTACATTTTAACAAGGTTTTTGTAAGAAAAATTTCTAGAACTAGAATTGCTGGGCTATAAGTGCTCTTTCTACCCAGATTACCTCATTTAATTTTCACAGCAACCAGATGAGGTACAGATCATTACTATTTTCCTCATTCTACAGTTGAGGGAACTGAGACACAGAAAGATTTAAAAACTTGTTCCAAATCACACAGCTAGAAAGTTATACAAACCAGGATAGTCTGATTCTAGAGCTTAATTTCCTAGCTTAGACATGTGAACTAAGTTTCTATTTATGCTTGTTTTGAGGGGCATTATATTTATTTTCAGGTCTACTTGATCTTGCTGTATGCAAGATTTCTTATTTATTATTTATTTCTTGTTTATTATTTATAACAAATAAATAAGAAGTTTCTTATTTATTTAGAGATAGGGTCTCACTCTGTTGTCCAGGCTGGAATGCAGAGGCACTATTTCTCAGCTCATTGCAGCCTCTGCCTTCTGGACTGTAATGATCCTCCTGTTTCAGCCCCTAAGTAGCTGTGAATACAGATGCCCACAAATACAGATATGCACGAATACAGATGCATGCCGGCATGCCTGGCTAGTTTTTGTGTTATTTGTAGAGATAGGTTTTTACCATATTGCTCAGGCTGGTCTCAAACTCCTGACCTAAAGTGATCCACCCACCTCAGACTCCCGAAGTGCTGGGATTACAGGCATGAGCCACCACATGCGGCCTGTCAATTTTAAACGGTTGAGGTGAGCCAAATATTTATTAAATGAGTCTTTCCTTTATTGAAATTATTTCAGAAATGCACCATTGGAATGTTGTTTAATGTCAGCAGGGACAAACTAACACTCAAGGAGAAACCTAGCCATTCACTCAAAGGAACATTATTTTCTTAGTATTCAAATATAGTATACAAATCTTTGAGCAGGTTAGTTTTTTCATGTAAATCATAATGTATGGTATTGGTCAAGTAGTAAAGTTCATATTAACCTTAAACATTTACTAAGATACTGTTTTCAAGTAACTCAGGCAGTGTAAGCAGACAGTGTCATAGTTTCTGTAAGCCTATAAGCTTTGCATCAGGATCACATTGCTGCTGGGGCCCCACTACAGATCTTCTGTATCAGAGATTCTGAATCTGGGGTGAAGACTGACAGCTCCTTAAAATTCCATGGAGAAAATATATATATTGACTGTTTTCCCACAAAAATTAAAAATTTAAAGACAATTTCATGGAGCTTGTAATTCACATTTGGGTCTGAGAATTCTTGTGTATGGCATACTTTCCATTGTTAAAGGTTATAAAAAAGGTACATTCTGTATCTCAGATACTCAGAGGACATTTATTAAGTCTTCTAAACACCTCTCACAACCAATAAGTTTGCAAAGCAAAATGGCCTTTTAATACCCAAAATAATTGGTTTATATTTTTTTGATTGTTTTAACCCTTTAAGTTAATATTCTATTACTTTTTTCCCCAAGGCTTCTAAAAGTGGATGATACTATCTGTCTTTATGCGATAGTGACTTAAAAGACCTTTTAATGCCCCAAATAATTGCTTTATATTTTCTTGATTGTTTTAACCCTATAAGTTAATATTCTTACCTTTTCCCTCAAGGCTTGTAAAAGTAGATGATATTATCTGCTTTTATGTGACAGTTGCTTGTTTTTTAACCTCCTTATGACATATGCCTTCAAGTGTTATTCTGAAACTAAACTTCTAAAAGCTACTATTTTCCTTGTAAAAGGATCTGCCCGTTTTTCTCTCCTGTCTTTTTCTCCTCAACCATTTTGTAACGTCCACAGGTAACATGGTATATATTGGTCAAAATTCAGAGTCAGGCTGCCTAGATTTCCAGCTCTGCTGTTGGCTGGTTGTATGATGCTAGCAAGCTGTTTGCCTTGTTTTCATGTTTATTTCATGGGATAGTCATAGTACCTATGTCATGATTGTTGAGAGGACTAAATGAACTAATATATGTAAAGCACTGTACCTGGCACATAGCGAGCCGTTAAAATTACCACCTCTCCCCTGTTGGCTGCATTCTCCTCTGTTGGCTTACGTGATCCTTTACTGCCCTGGCTTTCTGTGATCTCTTGGACCATTCCTTCTGTGCTGGTTTCCTTTCTTCTAACTATAAATAGTATTTCCCTCTGGTTTTGATGTCAGCATTCCTCTCTTTATATGTAATAAGGATTATAGCTCCATCAGATAGACTGAGGTTTGAATTCTACCCCTGCCACATATTAGCTGTATGACCTTGGAATTTTAAATTTCCTCAATCCTTTCCAAACTTAGGTTTCTAATCTGTAAAATAGGGGTAATTCCTTTATAGCAGGATTGTTGGGAGGATTAGAGATAATATAAAGTGCCCAGTATAGGGTCTGACACTGTAGTTGCTGAGTAATGGGATCTGCTGCTTCTGCTGTCTTTTCTACCTTATCGATCTCATCCAGGTCGGTATCTTTAGATACCATCACTGAACTGTTGATGCCTAACTCTATTTCTCTAGTTGACTTTCCATTTTGTACTGTTAATGTGTACTTCAAACTGCCATTAAATGTTTTATGTATGTCTTATTGGCATTTTAGAGTTTTCACACCTGATATCAGACTAATACTACACTATTATCTTCATTCTAAAACCTGCTGTTTGTATCATGTGTTTCATATTTGATCTCCTTTTAGGTGTGGTACCATAGCATTGAGTTGATTCATTCATGTTCTTTGAGTCTGTCTCTGATTCCTGTCTGTATTCTCAACACTGAGGCTCAAACGTCCATTTTTGGCTTCACTTCACACTACTGTAGTTAAACCCTCCTTACTTTATCACGTGTGTATTTTTTCCCTGGTAGCCATGAATGTCATCTCCCTGATATTTTTTGTTTTTCCTAATCTGTTCTTTACACTCATCTTTCTCTCTTATCAGATCCATCTTCCCAAAGTGGGAATCAGCAGATTCTTTATTCTAAAGGGTCAAATAGTAAATAGTTTGGGCTTTCTGAGCCTTGCAGTCTTTGTTGCAACTGTTCAACTCTGCTGTTGCGTAACAGGAAAGCAACCATAGAAGTACATGACCACATAAGTGTGACTGTCTTCCTATAAAACTTTATTTACAAAACTGGGTGGTGGTCTGAGTATGGTGGCATGCACCTGTAGTCCCAGCTACCTGGGAGGCTGAGGCAGAAGGATTGCTTGAGCCCAGCAGTTCAAGGCTAGCCTAGGCAACTTAATGTGACCCCATCTCTTTTAAAAAAAAGAAAAAGATGTTGGACTAGATTTGGCCCACAGGCCAGAATTTGCTGATCCCTCCCTCCCTCCCTCCCTCCTTCTCTTTCCTTTTAAATTACCACTCCTTATAGTATTTCTTGAAATAGTTATCTTTTTAAAATATTGACTGCTAGGTAGGATGAACTTTTAGCTCCCCACTCGCATCTAAAATATTTCGGTGTTAAGTGTTTTGCCTCTCATCATTTGGAGAAGTACAAATTACACAATTGCAAAGGTTCCAGAAATATTCTTATAAGAATTGCCCTAATAGTAGTTCCTGACTCTTATATGTTACTAGGTGCGTGTGTTATTGATACAGTGCTGTATACTGGAGTTCTTTGGGAAGGTAGCTTTAGGTCTGATGGGCTTATCAATTTATTTAGAACCTGCTTTGACCTCTGTGTAGTAGTAGTCCATTTCACCTGTCTCAACACAGCCTTTCATTTCACTGAGTGATCAAGGAACATTTCTATTTGGACCCTATATATTCCTTCTTAGGGTTTAGGTGCATTCTGTATCAACTTTGTGGACACATTCCTTATGTGCCTATGGAGATCTTCCTTGCAACATTCTAATTTATTAAGTTAAATATTTTTGAGTGCCTTCTCTAGAACTGTACTGAGGACATAAAGACAGTTCTAGCCTTAACACTCCTCATGTTCTGATGCAGGGGTCAGCTGACTTTCCGAAGGTCAGATTGTAAATCTTTTAGTCTGTGAGCTGTGTGGTCTCTGTTGCAACTATTCAACTGTGCCATTGTAATTTGAAAGCAGCCATAGACGGTACACATATGATTGAGCTTGACTATGTTCCAGTAAAATTTTATTTACAAAAATCAGTGGCGGGCCAGATTTGGCCTGCAGGCTATAGTTTGTCAATCCCTGGTCTAGTGGCATTGTGCCAAGGGATGTGATATTTGAAGCCACAAGGTAACCAGTGTGTGTCTTCCTTGAGTATAATTTTACTCAGTTATTGTGGAGAAAAAGTTAAGTAGTTTGATTGATCTTAATTTAAGACATTCTTTTAATAACATAAGTGGCCACCCAAGGAATAGAATATAAAATCAAGATGACTATTTAAAATGAAACAGCCTTGCAAGAAATGTTTTGTTTGTAGTGAACCTCTTTTTTTTTTTTTTTTTTTTTTTAAATGACCAAAATGCATTTATTTAATATACATCACAAGGGCTCAACCGAGGCTTAATTTAAAAGACAAAACAAAACAAAAATAATACCACAGCTCAAGATAGAGTCCTATACAGAAATCACAAAAAGGACAGACCATCTAAGGAAAAATGAAAAAGATGACACAAGGACAGGCTGGGCAGCCTGGGTCAGGGCTCCTGGCTGGTGACCTGCTTTGAGTAGGTTTCTTGGAGGTACTTCTTAAAAGCTGTGGGGTTTTTCCAGAGCTCGGCAGCATGGGTGTTCAAGGGACTATCAATGTTGGGTTCTCTTCGCAGGCTCTGGATGGAGAGCAGAATGGTCCTGACGTCATACAGGGCAGACCACTTGTCCTTCAGGATGTCCAGGCATATGTTACCCTGGGTGTCCACATTGGGGTGGTAGCAGGGTGTGAGGAACTTCACCGTGGGCGCATTGTAAGGGTAGCCACTGGGGAACTCTAGCGAGAGCTTATACCTCAGGTCTTCATATACTGTTCCAGCTGCTCCATGGATGGTCCCTACCCATTTGAA